AAGACATTTCCTCGGGAAGAAGCAGTGTCTGTGCTCCAACTACCCAGGTGCACACACTAACCTGTCTTTGGTTTCTTTGGGCCTATGAGATTGACTGATAGAAAGCTATTATGTCACCTCCTATCTTTCAAGTGTGCACTTTCCTGAAAGAGCAAAAGAAAGCTTTATGCATTTTCTAAAACCAATAATGGATTGAGGTGTATCTTTGTTACACATGCATTTGGGGCAGAGCTCTTTTTTACCAGGTAAGCAGTTGCCCTCTATTTCCTGTTTCCTTAGGAAATAGATGGGAGTCTATCAGTATATGCCTCTGTAGGAGGTGATAGTATTCTAGGAGAGGCCTTTGGTAACAGTGGTCTCTTGGGATGGAAGGAAGCCATTCAGTTCCATTAATAATCCCAGTTAGTCTCCCCAAAACCAGTCAGGTTCATGTACCTCCTCCTCATATTATGTTGCATAATGCAGGTCAAGATTCAATCAGGTATAGGAGAGTTATGGGAAAACATTTTTTATACTAAATCAGAGACAGAGAAATAAACCTAAAAGTAGTAAGACCAAAAAGCCAACTCTTACTGCAATCATGTGTAAAGAAATGTTTTCAATACAATGAGATTTTGTTTTATTGATAATTATCAATGAAGGTTTGAGTTAGCATTATAAAGAGATCACTTACTTTTGCCCGTTTTAATTAAAAACTGGGTTGATCCTGTCAAAGCACTCAAACTGCTCCTTTCCCCAGAAGTCCTAGAGGACTTTCTCAGTCCTCAGGCACTGAATCCCAGGAGAGGTATGATTTCCAACTCCCTTCCCTTTGAGGATGCTCCAATGAAAATACTAGTGAAGTACTTAATAAGGTGTCAGTGGAGAATGTACAGCTGTGCTTTCTCTGCTAGAAATCAGTCATATAAATGATAGGTCCTGTTCTGAAATTTTTTTGCTGTAATTTAAATTTATACAAAAATGTACTGTAGATATTTGATAATCACACATTCATGACTTAAACAGAATTCTGAGTCAGATGATATTCTGAGTTCTTCCCTAATTATGTTCATTTATAAATATATAAAGCAGACCTCTACAACTGACTTTTTAAATACCCATTCCCAAATGCTCTGGAATATGTTCTTTTTCCTGTAAATATAGGATACTTAAAGCATTGTGTCCATCTATTCTAAATGGCATATAATGAAACTGATTGTAAAGATTTTTACACATTATTAAAGAAGCCAGTCACAAGAAAAAAAAAGTTTATTTAAAACAATGCACAGTTAGGATGGAATAGTTTAAAATCACTTGAATCACTAAGTTCCTTGCTCTTGAACACAGCTTTACCCCAACTTTGTTAGTATAATTTTTGTCCTGAGTCACCTCTTATTAATGAATATAAAGATATATTTTGTGTTACTTGCTTTGGTGAGTTTGGATTGTTTTTTTTGTTTTGGTTGTTACGCCACAGTTCGGTGGTCAGGCCTATAGTGATGTGGAACACACTTCAGTCCAGTGCCGGGCCCTAGATGGGATTGAGTGTGCCAGTCCTAGGACTTTCCTACGAGAGAATAAACCTTGTATAAAGTAAGTGTTACTTTGAAGGGTTTGGTTGGTACTTAGAGGTACAGCTGTTTTCCTTGTCATCTCTTGATGTCACTTTTTCTTTTATTTTAAGTGTTAAATGGGGCGCCTGGATGGCTCAGTCAGTTAAGCGTCTGACTTTGGCTTGGGTCACGCTCTCACAGTTTGTGAGTTTGAGCCCCGTGTCAGGCTCTGTGCTGACAGCTCGGAGCCTGGAGCCTGCTTTAGATTCTGTGTCTCCCTCTCTTTCTGCCCCTCCCCTACTCTCTCTCTCTCTCTCTCTCTCTCTCTCAAAAATAAATAAAACAGGGGCGCCTGGGTGGCTCAGTCGGTTAAGCGTCCGACTTCGGCTCAGGTCATGATCTCACAGTTTGTGGGTTCGAGACCCGCATCAAGCTCTGTGCTGACAGCTAGCTCAGAGCCTGGAGCCTGCTTCAGATTCTGTATCTCCCTCTCTCTCTGACCCTCCCCTGTTCATACTGTCTCTCTCTCTCTCTCTCAGAAATAAATAAAACATTTAAAAAAATTTTTGTTAATAAAACATTTTTTTTTATAAAGTGTTAAAGGGGCAACATGATTACTACTGTGCATAATCCATGGACTGGGCGATGTGGTTATAAACAAAGAAGACCTTGGACTTATGAGACTAGATGCCATACATTCTAAATGTCTCTTTTATCAACTAGCTAAATGCCTTTGGATGGCTAGAGATTATATCCCTCACCTACAGAATAAAGGAGATGGACCAGATGATCTAGCTCCAAAATTCCTATGGTAGGCATAAATCCTGTGGAAAAAACCTTATATTTCAGGAGTAAAGGTTTTATTATGAAAAATGTGGGCCTAGCTCCTTGAAAATAAGTTTATCTTAAAGAATTAGGGTCATTTCTGTACATTTGGCTTGAAGGCATAGAACATACATCATTTGCTAATGGAGAGTCTATGATGTTTAGTGATATTAGGGTAACTGCAATTGAGTGCCATCACAGTATGTAAGACCTAAGTCCTTATTGAAGAAACTTCATTTTTAGTTGCCACAAAACAGCAGAAGGGTATATGGAGATCAGAGATCAGTGTTCACCTGAGGAAAGATGACAGCACTTCCTTAAAGAAATGTATTCAAAAATGCGGCCTCAGAAGCCTGTCTGTGTCAGGGAGGGATGCAGGCCCAGACTCCTACCAGGATGTGTACAGAGCAAATTTGCTTGACTCTTTCTTGTCCAATCCAAATATGTATTTGTTCCTTTAGGTCCTGGGTAGTGCTCTTTTAAGACCCTAGACCAACCAGAGATTTTCTTTTGGGGGTAAATCAGAGGCCACAGAGGAATTGCTGCACTATCTCTTCACATATGTTCATTCATCATTAAGTGTTTTTATTTTCACATGGTAAACATCTTCCTTTTCATTCCTTCTGTCTAGATATACCGGACACTACTTCATAACCACTTTACTGTACTCTTTCTTCCTGGGATGTTTTGGAGTGGATCGTTTCTGTCTGGGACACACTGGCACAGCAGTAGGGAAGCTGTTGACACTTGGGGGACTTGGGATTTGGTGGTTTGTTGACCTTATTTTGCTTATTACTGGAGGGCTGATGCCAAGTGATGGCAGCAATTGGTGCACTGTTTACTAAGAAGAGCAACTGTCATGGCCCAGAGAGGCATGTCTTCTGAATTCATCTCTACGGGCCCAAAACTCTTCCTTGATGCCAGACCTGGCCATTAGTTTCCCTCTTTGGAGGGAAATGGGTTCAGGAGGAAGGTTTTTTTGGACCCTGGGTTTTCAACCCAAATTTTACCTTGCAGACTAGAAATGACAAGCCAACAGTGTTTGGGAATCAAGTGTGTACCTTTCCTCATGTACAAAATATATAAAGGATAGTGACTAACTTATAGGCTGCCGAGGGGTTTCCATACTCTTTATTTCTGTACATTGCTGTATCTTCAATACTTTGGAGCAAGTGGACCCAACAAGATGAGCAAGTGAACCTTGTGCCTTTGTGACCCCGAATCTTCATGCAGAGGCGATCTGAAGCTGAACCAGTGAAAATCTTCAGCAGAAGTAAAACGGCCATGGATTTAATACACACTGAAATTCTGACTTTCTGAATTTAAATGGCAGAATAAATTTTACCAACCTAGAATGCTGTTTGGTACTTTCAGTAGGTAGAGTGAGACTCAAAATTCTATTTGTTTTGCTAAAAGCTACGCATTTGAAATGAACCACTTTATTAAAATAAATCCTACTGTTATACCATTATTATGCTCCGGAGGCAGTATATACAGTATAATAATGTCTCCATTTCAATTATATTTTGGAAGCCCAACAATATCAGTCATGCCTGGGTTAAGCTATCCTCCTGGCTATCCTATCCAAAAATTAGTTATTTACTGGTTTAGAGAGCCTATGTTGTAAGTTGGTAAAAAAAAAAAAAAAAAAAAAAAAAAAAAAATTCATACACCTAACTGTAAAACTATTCTTCACAATTATGTAAGATAAGATGAAAGAAAAACAGATCCTTTGGAAAGAAAAACAGATTCCTACTTAAAGGACAGAATTACTGAGTATCGGGTGGAGTTAGGATGTGACTTATGCGAACAAAGAGAAACTGAACACATTCTGTCAAAAGAAGTGATTCCAGAAGCTCTCAGTGTGGGCTACAGTAGTCAGTAGGGACAGCCAAGCTTTTGCATTCCCAAATCACTGGGAATAAAAGAAAATGTTCTGAATTATGAGTGGTTTTAAAAGCTTAGTTCCCATCCTTTGCAATGTAAGTTGAACTGTTAACTATAAAGTAAAAGGAGGACTTTGTGGACAAGTAAAACTAAGAGCCTGATATTCAGGATAAATTCCAGAAACAATTCAAGATAGAGTACTCAAAAGTCTAGTCTCCTATTAGTTGACTTAAAGACCAAGAAGCACGGTTAAAATAACTCTAGATATGTTCTATCATTATGAATCAGCTTTTCCAAAAGTTTCAGATGTATTATCCCTGATTAATATGTTCACTGTACTTCTATTAAATGGTGGCAACTGTGAAAACTTAAAACAGATGATTCTGTCTTGAAAGTTCTGTACCACTTTGACCTTAACCTTGTCTATAATAGTAATAATTGGTAGATTCTTATTCGTAATCTCTGTACTATAAGTATACAGTATTTTTTAAATGTTGTAGGTCATGAAGAAACTAGACCCCCTCCCCAGGAAAAAAGCACATAAACATAAAATTCTGCATAGAATTTAAGGAGACACAATATTTAAAACAAACAAAAACTCTAACTTCTAAGAGAAATCTGCAAACTAAAATTAAAATGTTACCAAAAATAAGATACGACTCTAAGCCACTGTTCCTGCCCCATCTCACACTTAAAAAAAAAAAAATCTCAGGATATTCACAAACCCCCATCAAAAGCTATTTAAAAAAAAAAACAAAAAAACACCACTTTGGCAACTTTAAGACTCAAAATCATTAATGTTGCCAGGAGGATGAGCTTGGGTAAAAAGGTAAAAATCTGTAAGTTACTGAAGTATCTGTCTCATAAAAGAAGCCCTTCTCACAGAAAAGCTTTTGAAGACCACTGCAGGGTGATCATGAGGATCTTTAATATTCCTCTGTGACAGTCTGCAGTTGTGTCAATTTGACTTGCAAATGATGCCCATCCTCTGCGTCTACAAACCCTGGCCAAATATGATATGACCCGAAAAACTTGAGAAAAGGAGTATTATTAACTATTTGATTTCCTTTGCACTCTGGGTTCCGGTAGTTTCTTCATATTTGATGTGTGTGTGCGTGTATGTTTGTGTTATATCCAGTGTGTAGCTATAGAGAAGTTTTAAAATCCTAAAGGGTCCTTCTGTCGAAGTTAAATTAGAAACTGTGCCTGTTTTTCAGTTGTTTCCTATGTTTAAATAAAATGTTATCAGTTCCCAGACTTCCCGGCACCCTGTCCTTCACTTGCTTTAGTAAGGCTTCTTAGCAACAGTAGAGCACCCCAACCAAAAGGTCCCTGAGTGTGTATGTGTGTTTGTGTTTTAAAGCATTCATTTTTCATTGTAAGAGACCCTAAAACTCCATGCCATCTTTGGCACATCTCAATACAAACCAGGCAATGTAGCTTTGGTTTTGTTAGATAATTTCTCTTTAAGACAAGATACTTAATTGATTATTTCAGGTGTGACTGTCAGGATCAAAGTTTGACTTCCCCGACGAACCATGATGGAAAGGAAATCATTGTCCTTAACAGCTTCAATAACATCGGTTGTGGTGGTAACAGGCTGCCCATTTATGCTGACAATTACATCGTGGTCTCTCAACCCAGAGCTGGGAGGAGGGGGGGGGGGGAGAAAAGGACCATGAAACTATAAGTTTTGCTTGTCCCCATCCAGAATTTAATGTCATCTCATGGCATTATTTTGCTGTCATTAAACATACAAACCAGGAAACCACAAATAGCCTCAATCCTTCCATATGAGGGCTGTCCTAAGATATGCTGAGAAATCACCTGGGGACAACAATGTTATTTACCTTTTTAAAATGAATATTCTAGGGGCGCCTGGGTGGCTCAGTCAGTTAACCGTCTGACTTTGGCTCAGGTCATGATCTCACTGTCTGTGAGTTCGAGCCCTGCATCAGGCTTGGGCTCTGTGCTGGCAGCTCAGAGCCTGGAACCTCACTTGGATTCTGTGTCTCCCTTTCTCTATCTACCCCTGCCCCACTTATGCTGTCTCTCTCTCTCTCTCAAAAATGAATAAACATTAAAAAAAAAAAAGTTACTAAAATCAATATTCTAGGGGTGCTTGGGGTAGCTCCAGTCGGTTAAGCGTCTGACTTCGGCTCAGGTCATGATCTCACAGTTCGTGAGTTCGAGCCCCGCATCAGGATCTGGCCTGACAGCTCAGAGCCTGGAGCCTGCTTCAGATTCTGTGTCTCCCTCCCTCTCTGCCCTAACCCCCGCTCAAGCTCTGTCTCTCAAAAATAAACAAACGCTGAAAAAAAAACAATATTCTAACAATCATGTAAAGAATTGACTCTTCCCATATATTGGATTTGGTCTGGAATAGGGAATTTAGCTTTTGGTTTTTATCATTCTCTGACCTCTGTAACCTCAAGCAAAGATGAAAAGCCCAAGCAATATATATTTTCCCCAGACAGTTGTACTCTATCAGTTTGGTTTTGACAGACCACTTCCTTGTCCCATCTTCACCTGTGGTTTGTGTTAAGTGGAGGCTATGCTGAGCTGCATGATAGCTCTGCTTCCAGTTAGTCAAAAACCAGTCACCCTGCCAAGTCTAAATATTTCAGCCTCTGGTTCTAGGCTCCTTTTCCCCAAAGTTGTGATTACATTCTGTCTCCAACACGTTTGCTTCACATAGGATACACAGTCTAGAAACAAAAAGCACCTCCAAATATGAAACACTGCAATAAATATATGGCCATGCTGATAATTTCTCTTAAAGTCAATAATAGGCTGGAAGAGGCACATCAAATGAAATGACTCCAGGAGACACCATTTTAAAGAAATGGGAAGCCAAAGGAAGGATGTGGGAGGATTACCAAGAATGTGGAATTTTTTTAAATAGAAATTTAAAGCAAGAGGAAATGAAAAGTTTGAGGCCAAAGCTAAAAGCTTAGAAAACCTTTGGAACACAGACAGCTCAGGAAGATGACTGGGGCAGTGTGCAAAGAAGAAACTTAATTCATTGTTGTTCTGTGAGTAGAAAAAAAAGATAAAGAAACCTGCCAGTTATTAATGAGTGTAAACTAATGCACCAAAATGATGGAGTGAGGCTCAGCCAAGATAAATGACCTTTCCCATGTCCCGTAGTTTGGAAGAAACTAAAGAAGGATTTGATCGTGGGTGTTTCAGACTTGAAAACCCACTTTGCCACTCACTCTGCCTCTCAGAAACAAGAGAAGCAGCTACAAAACAGGATAATCCGGGGGTTAAGCCAGATTCCACATCCCTGCTCTCTGGCTAATTATGCACCTCTCAAATTAATTACCTCTCTATACCACAGCTGCTGCTTCTATAAATTTATGCCTATATTGTAAGACTACTGGGGGCTCTAAAAAGTATGTAAAACACTTAAAATGATCCCTGACATAGTAGTTAGTAAGTGCCAGCTGTTATTACAGCTAATAATAATTATGATTATCAGATATAAGTGGGTGAAGCCATAAATAATAGATTTCTGGTTTATCAGTGACTTCAAGCAAGTTCCGTATTTTAACATTCATCCAAATCACCTGGAGCTCTTATTTAAAATGAAGATTCTGGGGCGCCTGGGTGGCTCATTTGGTTAAGCCTCTGACTATTGATTTTGGCTCCAGCCATGATCTCACAGTTGGTGAGATCAAGCCAGGAGCTGGGCTCCGCACTCTTAGCATAGAGCCTGCTTGAGATTCTCTCTCTCAAAATAGGTAAATAAACATTTTAAAAAAATAAAAATAAAATGCAGATTCCAGTTCTGCGGTTGAGCCTGTCATCCTGCTTTATTTTTTTAATTTTTTTTAAATGTTTTTTATTTCTGAGAGAGAGAGACAGCATGAACAGGGGAGGGTCAGAGAGAGAGGGAAATACAGAATCTGAAGCAGCCTCCAGGCTCTGAGCTAGCTGTCAGCACAGAGCCCAACATGAGGCTGGAACCCACGAACTGTGAGATCATGACCTGGGCCAAAGTTGGATGCTTAACTGACTGAGCCACCCAGGTGCCCCTCATTCTGCATTTCTAAAAAGCTCCAGGTGATGCCAATGCTGCTGGTCTACAGACCACATTTTGACTAGCAAGGACTTGGAGAGCTGAAAGAAATAGCCTTGGCCTTGAGCCAAAAGTTAAAAATAAAGACGGTGGGGGGGGGGGGGCAGGAAGCAAGAAAGTCTAGAAAAGCCTATGACAAGCCAAATTTAGTAACATGAGACTTAACACTTAGCTATTCTGAACAGTTAGTACCTGTGGTTTCTTCCGCTTACCAGAAGAGTTGCCATAATCTAAAGAGGTGACTGAGCTCTTGAAAACCAAAAATACTGAGAAAGGGATGTTAAAGAAATATAAGAGAGAGACCCAGGAAAATAGCTGTAGGACAACCACCTCTTCCCTCAGTAGTTACTATAAATGTTTAAAGAGTAAAATCAGCTGGAGCACTTCTTTGATGAGCTTTTCTAGCCTTTGCTTTATTTACATTCATTCATCCATTCATTCAGTGCTGCCCCCTAATATGGTCTTCCAGAGTTCAAAGAAAAATATGTCTGAAAGTACCTAAAATATGTTATTAAACCTTTAGTCCTCTGAATTCTTCCTATTCTTTATAACTAAGGTATCAAAAGCATAGATTTGAGTATTCCTAGCAAAATTAATTTAAGCTTATGCTATTAACTCATCATGAATTCTTGGGCTACAAAGAACCATCCCCTTCCCTAAAAAAGTCCTTCCAAACACAAGTACTCAAGTTTAAATCCACACTGTCAACAGAAATGTAAGGCAAGCCACATACATAATTTTAAATTTTCCGGTAGGCATATTTTTTAAAACTTTAATTTCTACAAATCTTTTTAAAAATAGATGAAACTTGGGGCACCTAGGTGGCTCAGTCAGTTGAGCGGCCAACTTCAGCTCAGGTCACGATCTCATGGTTCGTGAGTTCGAGCCCTGCATCAGGCTCTGTGCCGACAGCTCAGAGCCTGGAGCCTGCTTCGGATTCTGTGTCTCCTCCTCTCTCTGGCCCTCCCCTGCTCATGCCCTGTTTCTGTCTGAATAATTAAAAAAAAAAAAAGAAAGAAAATTTTAAAAAATAGATGAAACTGGGGCGCCTGGGTGGCTTAGTCGGTTAAGCGTCCGACTTTCACTTAGGTCATGATCTCACAGTTCGTGGGTTCGAGCCCCACGTCGGGCTCTGTGCTGACTGCCAGCTCGGAGCCTGGAGCCTGTTTCAGAGTCTGTCACTCCCTCTCTCTCTGACCCTCCCCTGCTCACGCTGTCTCTCTCTCTTTCTCTCTCTCTCTCCTAGAAATAAATAAAAAAAAAAAAAAAAAAAATAGATGAAACTAATGTTAATAATATACCTATTTGGGGGCACCTGGGTAGCTCAATCAGGTAAGCGTCCACCTCTTGATTTCAGCTCAGGCCATGATTTCACTCATCGTGAGCTCACGCCCCACCCACGTTGGGCTCCATGTGCAGAACCTGCTTGGGATTCTCTCCCCCTCTCTTTCTGCCCCTCCTTCACATGTGCTTACATGTACACATTATCCCTCTCAAAGTAAATAAATAAACATTTTAAAAATAATAATAATATACCTATTTTAACTTAGTATGTTATGTATTATCATTTTAACATGTAATTTTTACAAGTCTTAAGTTATTTTACACTGTTCCATATTAAGTCTTTGAAATCCACTAGAAACAACACACACCTGTTGTGCTAACATACAACTTACACAATGCAGTGATTAAAGTGTGAAAGGCAGTCTTTCCAAAACAAAAGAAAAGGTATGTTTAATGGAAAAATATTTTACATCCATTGCCTCTTCTTTTATTTACATAAGTTAAAATTAAAGAAAATTCAGTTCCTCCGTCACGCTGGCCACACCTCACACCTGGGTGTTTAACAGCCACGTGCGGGGAGGGCCTCTGAACTGAACAGTGCACGTCTCAATCCAACACACATTTTACCACGGCACATGAGCTGTGCTCTTACCTTTCAGCAGCTGTTCCTTGAATCACCTCATACACGAAAACTCCAGAACTCACATCAGGGAAATCTGAATCTTGCCTTTTCAGCTCTTGAAGAAGGCTAAGAAAAGTGAGAAGAGTTTTACTAGAAAATTAAGAAACACAACGACTTAATCTGAGCCCTGGTCAAAACCTCCAACTCAGTAGGTACCCTTGTTTGTTCTACTCCAGGCTCCAAGTGGCCAGTGAGAACTCCGTCAAGCCGGTCACAGTTATTCTTCCCCGGGTGTGGTCTGGTTCTCTGCCAAAGCCTGGGACCATGGGACATTACAAGGTATAGCCACAGAGAAAAAAGCTACTGAAACATTCGGGAAAGGTTGGTGCCGGCAGAGGCAGATATATACTATGTGACAATGGGGCCCTGCAGTCATGAGAGTAGCTAGCTGTAGTCCAAATGCTTTAGATCCCCTGTTAAGACTGTCTAGCTATGACTTTTGCTTCTGAAAAACAACCCAGACATATTCAAACCCACACTTACTTCATAGTAAGAGGCAGCATTCGCAGACCGAGATATTTCTTCTGTGAAAGAGCCTTTCCTGGAAAGGAAAGTCATAAGGTGTTAGTAACAACAAAACTTCCTTCCTTTTGGCAGAGCTTAAAAGACACCAAGTCATGGACTATCCTTACTATTATTATAACTGCCTTTTCAGGGGCGCCTGGGTGGCTCAGCTGGTTAAAGCGTCCAACTCTTGGTTTCAGTTCAGGTCATTATCTCACAGTTCTTGGATTCGAGCCCCAAGTCGGGCTCTGCATGGATACCTCAGGGCCTGCTTGGGGCACTCTCTCCCTCTATCTCTGCCCCTCCCCTGCTCGTGCTATCTCTGTTTCTGCCAAAACAAGTAAATAAACATAAATAATAACAATAATAACTGCCTTTTCAGGCTGTCAGCAATGAAAACAAGCTTCAGAGAATTTGTCACTAGCATGGACACTCCTCCCATCTACTCCCATCTCTAGCCCGTGGGTTTCCTTTCCACCACAATTCTCATATTTCTGGGAACAACACAGGCCTGGCTTTGTGCCTCGTCCCCCAGTATTGCCACTCAAACCAACGTGATAAAAGCTCGGTATCAGTGGCTCAGTATTCTACAGATTTCCTAATGGCGGTCTCTACAATAGATTGAGTGCTCCTGAAAAACACAAGAAGGGATGAAAAAGTCCTAACTCCCCTCACCTTTCAGCTGGCGCTCATGGAATTCTGCCAAGAACTGTCGAATTCGATCTGAGGGAATTGCAAAGGAGATTCCTGCGGTCACCTTGAGTGTGTTTATGCCAATCACATCACCATCCTGGCAAGGAAGGAGCCATCATTAAGTCTCCAAGCCATGCAAACTGATAGGTGCAAAACTAAAACCAGCAAAGGAGAGAGTAGAGCCAGTCACTGAGGGTCAGAGCACAGAGGGGCTAGAGGAAAGTGGACTTCAAACAGAGAGCAGTGGATGTTACCTTATGGGTCGCACAGCATCGTCGGATACCGGGGGTGGGGTGGGGGGGAACCTACCCATGTGCAAATCCCCACTGAGGACATATTTTTTTAATCTCAAGCTCATTTTTTTCCTTTGCCAAATTGATTTTAAAAGTGAACCACAGTTCGTATTTTGACACAGATAAGAAGATAGGGAGTATCTGCCTTTTCTGTTTAAATGAAACTAAAAAGTAAACATGAAAAAGGCAAAAACGCAATACTTCAGCAACACTTCCGTGAAACTCTTCAGGATTAGCTAACTGACCTTAGAGAACAAAGCTCTACAAGGCCAAAGTTGAGAAATGGGAAACAGTTTCCTCTTCATGCACTTCATTATCCCTTAGCCTTTGTTGAGTAATGGCAAGGGTAGAAAAGAGACTTCTGATCATATTAAAATACATATTATAGGGGAGCCTGGGTGGCTCAGTCGGTTAAGTGTCCAACTTCCGTTCAGGTCATGATCTCACAGCTCGTGGGTTCAGGCCCCGCATCAGGCTCTGTGCTGACAGCTTAAAACCTGGAGCCTACTTCAGATTCTGTGTCTCCTTCTCTCTCTACCCCTCCCCTGCTTGCACTCTCACTCTGTCTTTCTCTCAAAAATAAAGAAACATTTTAAAAAAATACATATAATTCAGCAGGCCTGGAACATGGCCTGAAAATGTGCATGTCACCCCTTCTCTAGTAAACTCATCGTCTACACGAGACAGCAGGCACAAAATTACACGCCTTGCTGTGAGTAAAAAGGGGCTCAGTAATTTCACATACAATTCACCCTCCAAAAAGCAAATGTGTAAAGAACCAAAAACAATCCATTCAAAGGGACTCAGACAGCATGATCACAGACTGTGTGTCAAACAGCACGGCGCTCCCATGCTTTTCCACATAACTGAACAAGTAGAAACTCCCACACTTCCATTAGAGATGCTGAATGAAACTGAGGAAACACATGACAGAGCAAAGGATTCTTAGTGTGGCTTTTCTGTCATCTCTCCCAAGACTAAATTTAACCCTGAACAGACCACATCATGTAGAAAGCATCTTGGGATCAGGAACACTTCTTCATATGCAACAGGGGTGGTATGAGAGGCGGGTTTCAAGGATAGACCCTACATAGTACTGCTGGTCATCTGACGTATATTTGAGTTTAGTGCCCAGGACTTGTGCTAACTATGCAATGACGGCAGGAAGCATGTCAGTAAGCATAAGTAAAAGCTGGCACTCTCAGCTGGAGGAAATCACATGCCAGGAGGATAAATCCATCATAGATCTTGAATTTCTGCTCACTGGTTACTTATGATGCAATATCAGAAAAGCATCTTACCACAAATCTCTACACGAGACTGACATCCTAGCCTGCGTCATGCAATTTGCAAAGTCTTTGAAAGTGAGAAAGAGACGTGAAGCAGCAAGGAAAGTAGCCACTTACCAAGTTCACCAGAGGGCCCCCAGAATTCCCGTGCTGAAGACAGAAATTTGGAGAAGTCAAAACTTTTCTCCTTGTCATTTATACATGATTCCTAAAGAGGTTTACCAAAAGCAGACCACTCCGGTGAGCCCCTGTTCCTCCTAGGCAGGCAAGGCTGTGACCCTGTCACCAATGCTGAAGTCATTGCCAGTGAAGGACAACTAGCAAAAGCACCACCACCTTCTACAGCAGGGGGTGACCTCTATGACAGACCTTAAGAGGCCAACCCAGTATAATGGGTGTCAATTATCAAACAGGCTGAACTCCAACAACATAGCATTCCCTCCCTCTCATGAGGATCTGACTGAACTCTGGATGTCCCCAACAGGCTGATGGGAAAAGAGGGCATTCGGACATGTTCTTCTCACTGTCCTGCCAGTACCTGACGGGTTAAGGATGGCCCTCCCAAGTAACTTACATTAATTATGGCATCAGTCTGGATATAGTCCATGTCCGAATACTTCAGCCCCAGCTCTCTGCCCCCTCTCTGTGTAGTGCTGACAATTCCTGCGGTCACCGTGTTCTGCAGAGAAAATGGGCTGCCCAAGGCCACCACGAACTCTCCAGCCTGCAGGTCAGATGACCTTCCCAGCAGCAATACTGGAAGGTCAGTCTGCACAAGGCCAGGAGGGATGGGAAGGACAGAGAGGTGAAGAACAAATCAAGAACAGAATCAACCAGTATTTGTGTACAGTACACATACAACACTGTCTCTATCATTTCGGCACTTATAATCCAAGAATCACCTACCCACCCATATAGGTTCTACAAGTGCCTGAAGCTTCCTCAAATTCCAGCAACCACCAAACTCTCTCACTTGATAAGATGATCAATATCATCTCTAAAATCTAAAATTATTGCTTTGTAGAAATCACTATAACTAAACCACCAGTGAAGATGTTGATGAACATAAGCTGACATTAGCAACTTAGCACCCTTCCAGCTCAAAAGTTCCTAGTCAAGGTTAAGCCACAAACAGAAAGGAGATCACCCAGAGCGGTGCTTCTCAAATTTTAATGTGCACACAAATCACCTGGGGATCTTATTAAAATGCAGGTTCTGATTCAGTAGCCCCGGGTGGGATCTGAGATTCTGCATTTCTAAAAATTTCTCAGGTACTGTCAATGCTGCTTAAGTGCAGATTACACTTTGTATAGCAAGGACCCCTAAGTACTCCGAAGCAGCTTTGAATCCACTGCAATTATTCCTAGTATTCTAAGGCAAGCAGAGACCTAAGTTTCTCAGAAGCAGCATCTGTTGACAAAAGAGGTAAAGGAGGCTAGTTAACAATAGAAATTGTTAGGGATATAGAGATGGGCATAGAGGCAAATAAACAAAAGAGGAGTGAAAAACAGAAAAAGAAGCCAGAAAGGGGCATATACCAGGTAGAAAAGATGATGGGTGTGGGGTGGGGAAGAAAATATCAGCAAACTGATGAAAATCCCCAGCTGTGCAGACTGATTTGACCCTTCCATACTCACATTTGGCTCAATCTTAATCAGCGCAAGATCCAATTTATGGTCAATATCCTTGACAGTGGCTTCAAACGGGACCCCACTCTGGAGCTCCACTTGGATCCGCTGCTGGTTGGTGACGACGTGGGCACTGGTAACAATGAGCCCATCCTCAGACACTATGAACCCAGAGCCACTGGATGCAGGAATATTCTTGCTGCTAAGAGGTGACCTGTCTCGGTAAGATGACAGTATAAGCAGAGGGCAGGAAAATCAGGGGATCCATCACAGGCTGGTGACATGGGAACCTCTCATTTATCAAGCATACTTCCAGCACAGTTTTGTCAGGCATCTCACTTTCTCCTGTCTGTGTTTTCAGGCTCTCCATGTGCAACTGGATTCTGAATGTCCAATGCCTTTGCCATCTCTTGGGAACACGCAAGAGAGTTGATTCCAGCTCTCTGACCTCAGACTCCCACCTTCTGCGCTGGACAGAGAGCAGCAACCCTCTACTTCCGAGAGACCTAATCTAATCATGCTGCTGGGGGCAAACGTGGACCTAATGCCACATTACTGAGGACCCAGGCAGGGAGAGAGTGTAAGAGAAGTCTGGTTCCAGCTTAGGATCCACTACTAACTGGCCTTGTCACACAGGATTTCCTTCCGTGCCAACGAGGGGCCTGAGCAAGATCACCATCAGGATGCCTTCCAGCTCTTACATCTGACCCTCAGATTTTGTCTGTGGGAGATGACGGAGGGAGAAATCCCTGGCACCTAAGTGCAGAGGAGTAGCCCAGATTTGGAAGGCAGAAACCCTATGCTTCCGCTCTTTGGCTAGACTACCCTGAACAGATTATTCAACCTGTTTTGAGCTGGCGGTTTCCTCACAGCAGGTTTTATGACTAAATGATGCTTGTAAAGCGGTAGCGCAGGGGCCTAAGTGGGCAGGCGCTCATGAACCGGCCGCCAGGGCAGCGGGCGTCTTCCTCTCGCGTCCTTTACCTGCGAAACAGCTGCAAGTGAACCACGGAGGGCGCCACCTTCTCCACCACGGCGGCGATGAAGTTGTACTTGCTCCTGAGCCCGCCTACACTCCTGGCCCCTGTGAAGAAACGCTCCATGCTTGGGGGCGGTGGGCGCCCCGCTGCCTGACCGCGTCTGGGGTCCCATCCCGAAACTCCCGGGCTCTCTCCTCCTCCAGTCCCCTTTCCCTCCCGTTCCTCTCCTCGGGCTCCCCTCCGTGTTCACGGCCGCCCCGTAAGGATGCGCCTTGAGGAAAAGAGAGCTGTCATCCCGGGCGGGGGGTACAAGAGAGGGGAAAGGGAGAAGACGGTATTTAACAGGCCTGGGGAGACAAGTGGGGAGAAACCACACGGGACCTGGTAAGGAGACACCTAAGAAGGAAAGAACATTGGAAACAAGGAGCTGGATCCGCAGGCAAAGGCACAGGGAAGAGCGCGCGGCAAACCGCGCGACTGCGCCGCGCCGCTTAGGGGAGTCGCGAGCGCCCGGAGCGCGCGCGGGCCCGGCGCTCACCTCGATCCGCGCAGTCGCCCTTCAGCACGGGCACGGCCGGGAGCGCGCCCCGGAGGCGCGCGGCGCGGTTCTCGGCGCGCAGCGCGCACAGGCTGGGGTAGGTGCGGCCGTCGCTGCCGCACACCGCCGCCCCCGCCGCCGGGCAGCCGCACGTGCCCGTCCGGGCGCCGCCGAGGCGCGGGGCGCTGGGCGGCGCGCGGCACTGCAGCCCCGGGGCGCACCGCCGTCCCAGCGCCCCGCCGCAGGCCTCGCCCTCGGCCGCCGCGCAGACGCGGCAGCAGCGGCAGCGGTCGAGCACCGGCGTCATCCCGGCCGAGCAGGTGGGCAGCGGGGGACAGCGCGTCGGCTCGCAGGCCGCGGGACAGGGCAGCGGGGGCCTAGACCTCCTAGCTTCGACCCCGGGCACAAGCACTGGGAGCAGCAGCAGCCACAGCAGTTGTCGTCCGAGCGCCGCGGGCCGCAGCAGAGATCTAGTCATCCTGCTCCCTTCCTTCTTGGCTCTCACTGTTCCAGTTACTTTGGACCCGCCAACTGCTCTAACATGAGCAACACACTCTCCCGGCTAGGGTGCCTCCTCCGCCAACCCCCAGACTTTAAGGGGCAGAACCTGGCAGATGCCACAAACATCAACCACACCATCCCCGCCCCGAGGCCAGGTCCACCCCCACGCGATGAAAAGAGGTCCCCAGCCCTGCCCTGCGCAGGGCCCTTTCCTCGGGAAGTCCAGAAAGCCAGTAGTAATAGGGCAGACTGACAAGAGACATCACCCACCCACGGACAGAAGGTCAGCGTTAGGAAAACATACACCATATTTCAGTATTTCACATGGTTTTATTACAAAACAAGCAACAAAACAGTTTTAGAAAATTATTTCTGCTACATACCAATTAGGAGATCACATAAAATGAGAAGCATAACAGTTTCCATGCACTCAGCTCAAGGCTTACAGTGAGTGCATTTCACAGCTGAAACATACTGGTTCAAAACACAAAATCATGCCACACCATAAGCAGTGGGGGAAAGGGTCAAACTATATTTTTGCCAATATTAGCTTTATTCAAATTCTACTTAGCATGAGTGACTGTAACTGCTGCAGGCAATAACATCGAAAAAAAAAAGGATAAGAGAAAAAGCAATGTTGGTAGAAAAGATGTGGGTAGAAAACAACTGTGCATTTTTGACAGGTTCAAAGTTTATAAACAAAGCCCATTAGGGGAAACTCAATTTCCAAAATGGTGTTACTTCCACATGCCTGTTATCTGGTCAATTGTGAAAACTAACATCAAATACCACGGCTCAGCTACTCAATCTTCTATTTATTGGTTGCTTTTACTCATATCAGAGCACAGTTATATTTAGGAAGAAAAAAAAAACCTTTTGTGTCAAGTAAACAACAAAGCTGGACCTTACCTCTGCTCCTTTTTTTTTTTTAAATGTGTTATTTATTTCTAGGAGAGAGAGAGACAGCGTGAGCAGGGGAGGGTCAGAGAGAGAGGGAGTCACAGACTCTGAAACAGGCTCCAGGCTCTGAGCTGGCAGTCAGCACAGAGCCTGATGCGGGGCTCAAACCCACGAATCGCGAGATCATGACCTAAGCGAAAGTCGGACGCTTAACCGACTAAGCCACCCAGGCGCCCCTGCCTCTGCTCCTTTTCATGTGAGCTCACCGTTCTCCTCAAAAATAAACATATAACCTCCAATATGTTGACCTGAGTCCACTCTACACCTTACTAGGGTTAAAATGTCTCACAGGATATAAAAGGCCAAACTATGTTTACCAACCACCAACTGGCCTCGAGTAAGCAAATCCTTACGCTTTCAAGATAGTGGATGGTAAATAGTTCAATTACAGGGAAGACCACCTGTAATACTATTACACATACTGCATCAAGGCCACTTCAAAAGTCTTACAAAAACAGCATAACTCCGATAAGGTTTTTTACTCCACAAAGAAAATGCAGTTTCTCTTTTTAACTCAGATTTATTCCAGAGCCTATATACTTAATGACTAATATACTGCATCCCTGCCCTACTTTTCCCATTTGGTTCCATATAAATTTAAATGTTTATTTATTTTTGAGGGCGGGGTGGAGCAGAGAGAGGGGGACATAGGATCTGAAGCCAGCTCTGTGCTGATAGAAGAGAGCCCTGATGCAGGGCTCGAACTCATGAACTGTGAGATTGTGACCTGAGCCAAAGTCTGACACTTAACCAACTGAGCCACCAGACTACCCTGGTTCCATATACATTTAAAGTCAAATGCTTTCTGGGGCACCTGCATGGCTCAGTCGGTTAAGTGTCCAACTGCGGCTCAGGTCATGATTTCATGGTTAGTAGGTTTGAACCCCATGTCGGGCCCTGTGCTGACAGCTCAGAGCCTGGAGCCTGCTTCAGGTTCTGTTTCCCTCTCTCTCTGCCTTTCTCTCTCTCTCTCAAAAATAAACATTTAAAAAAGTTTAAAGCCAAGTGCTTTGATTGCATATGCACCATCTTTGGCTCACATGTGTAGTGACATTAAAAATTGTGATGTGAAATTGGTCAGAAGGTAAGAAATATAGACACAAGGAATTCTGAAATAAGGCTTGGGAATGAGAATGCTTTTAGGTGCCATTGAAGATCACTCTATTTATCTAGTGTTGGAATCACATTAACAATGTTCTCACTCGGCATTCCCAAGTATTTGCCATCTACAGTCCTTGTTTTCCTCTATCACAATAATATAATCTACATTTGTAAGTATATTGAACTCACATTCTTAAAATAGACCATACTGAATGAGAAACATATCAGCTTACTATAATGGCCAATTAATTCAGCAATGGTATTCTAGCAGAGAGTTTACTTAACAAAAGAGAAATAGGTACGTTTTCATCAAAAGTTGACAGCTTTCATGAGTTCCGGAATGTTTAAAGAGATCTCAAAAGTTCCTAATTTATTTTTGCTAGTGTACTGCCATTTATTGTGTACCTCCTTAGACCTAGCCAAACAATTTTCTTAAGGAAAATTTCAAGGTGAAACCAGAGATGAGGAGCTTTAAGAATTTGGAATGGCTACTTGAAACTGTAACCTTGGTCACCCATAATAACTAACTCACAAAGCAAAAGTACACAGGGGTCTGCAAAAGAGAGGGGGGGAGAGAGAGAGAGAGATCCAGTAGATGTCTTTTTTTATACCAGGACCACGAGGCCCAACAATATAAGTGAAGAATAGCTCCAATGCAGTGCAATCAAGAAGAGTTCTCAACATGACCTAGACTTCAAGGTAACTACACTGCATTGAAGGAACAAAGATTCCCTCCAGCCCCTAGAGGTTACTGATGATATGTTTTTACCTCGGCATTACATCTGGACATAAGGAGGGGAAGGGATTTACTCAGGTAAAAAAGCTTCTCTATCTTCTTCTAGTCTTTAAGTTTTAATTTAAAGGTAACTAATTGTTCTAGCTGATAAAAGGTATAGACAGAAATGAGTTAGTTTTTCTCTCCCTTTAGGGAACACTGGTAAGTTAGCAGTAAACCACATTAAGTTGGACAAATTCTCCCAGGGACCCTGGAAAGTATCTTTTGTCAAATGAAAGGTAGAAATTTGGGTGGAAAATGCAATCTATGCTCTTCTACCTGGGAAATATCTAGTCAGCAATGCAGAGCCTCTAAATCAATGTTTCTATGCATAGTTTCTATTTTATTAAAAATATAAATACCTCTCAAGATTATCCTTGTATCTCTTCACTGTTAAGTACATGGAACCTTATTGTATTACAAGGTGTGATCATGCAACTACTCAAGGCTTCATTCAAAGAGCAACAGAAAGAGTTAGAAACAAAGCAAATCTGCCAGGGTATATAATATACAGCACTTAAAATTAGACTAATATCAGCCCTTTGAAGAGAGCTGTGAAGTAAGGATTCAAGAAATCTGTCTGTGCTGAAACAGACCTTTTCTTCTGTCTGGAAAACATGGATCAGAAAAGTTTATCTGGATGAACTATAATCCATCTTTTCCCAGCACCTGCTTTAAAACAATTCTAACATTCTAAAACAGAGATCCGATCTATCACTCAAGTGAATTATCATACACTTATCAACCCTCCAAACTTCCAAATAATGCCACACCAATGGAAATGTCTGCCCTATTCTCAACAGTCGTAACTTCTAACACTGATAAACCCATCCTCGGGGCCTGACACAGAAACTGGGTGGGCAGGTCCATCACTCAAGTTGACACTATTTGGGGCCATAGACAAGAACAGAATAATTCCCCAAACTGGCTGATGCACTGAGTTGAATCTTTCCCTATACCTTACAAGAGATCCCTATGTCTTCCCCAGTGGAGGTCCCCTAGGAGGATCTACCCTAGTGGACATTCTGAGAGCTGCCTGCCTGCCCCCAGATCTTAACACCTCCCCCTCAGAATGTATCCCAGCCAAGCCAGAGCCTAGGTCTGCTGCTTTCATCCGGGTTAGCTACCACTCTCCTACTTCCCAGTCAGACCTCAGCCAATGAACAGGAATAGGATAAGCCAGATAACTGCCCAAGACTCTGTGCCTGGCCTGGAGACCAAAGGAAGAAACTATAACTAGGACATGGGAATAGAACTTGGTTGGGGATGAAACGCACTACCAAACCTCCTCTCACCAGGAAGACCTTGGAGTGGTCAAATTAGAGGCAACCTGCTCTCCACTGAGCATGCCTACAGGTCTAACCTAGTGGTTTTCCAAGTTAAATACACTGTATATTTAAAAAAAAAAAAAAGCCAGCTGAATGGGCCACTCCCACAGAGCATCCACAGGAATATGGGTGCCAAAGGGTCTCTGACTGTCCTCCAAAAGGTAGGGAAACTGAGTCATGGCCTCCTTTTCTTGAGTCCTCCCCCCTCCCAGGGCACCATGCCCTATCACACATCAGAAGTCCGTATGCTCTCGTCATCAAGGCTGAACAGAAACGGTTTCTCCTTGGGGTGTTGGGGCTCTGATCTGTGCCTTATCCGGGAGCTGGGCAACACCCCAGAAGTACTGCTCTCCCCAAGTCGAGGCATGAACAAAGAGTCCCCAGGAGTCTCTTCAGCTGGAAGCAGCTTATCCCCAGCCTGGGGGACAGGTGTCCAGGGTTGCCAGGAGGAAGCCACAGAGGGGGCTTTGCAGAGGGCTTTCTTTTCTTCCACAGGTGGCCGCCCCCTGCACAAGGCAGAGTTGGGCCCACCTGACAGGCTGGAGCTTCCAGAGCGAGTCAGAGAGATGGATCTAGAAAAGGACATATCCTACAAAAATAAAAGGGAAGGAAAAAAAAGCAGAATAAGGGCTTTCCTGACAGTGTTTACCCCAAAGCCCCAGGAAGAACAGCCAGGATCACCACCTCATAAGTCCGGAGACCCCTGTCTACAGAAATCGAGTACAACCAACGGAATTCACTCCAGATGTGTCATGGTCTGCCTGGCAGGGAGACCTGTAGAACACATCAGAGTCTCCGTTTCTTTACACAACCCAACTCGCCTCTTTCCAACAACCAAACGAACAAACAAAAAAATAAAACCTTGTACCTAAATCAGTAGAAGGAGAAATCAAACAAGACAGCCTGGGACTTCAGCTGCATCCAGGAACAGGCTGCTCGCCTACATCACCAAATAAAACCTGACCACTCAAGGAGAATTCATCTCCGAGTTGACAGTGGCTGTTTACCAGAAAGAAGTGACTTACTCTGGGGTGGCATTTGAGGGCCTGGACGGCTGCCCTGATCTCCTTAATCCAGCTGTGCATGTCTTCTGGACTGTCCGCCTGCAAAACATCCCACAGCACTTATGGAGAAAATTCTGGCACTGTGATTTCAGCTTTCAAGTCTGTAATTCAATTCTAAGTTTATGAAATCACACCATTAGAACTGGAAGGATCCCAGAGACCATCCAGTCCAGTGGCTTTCAGACTTTTGAGGACATTTTTTTCCCCCTGCAAATTCTTATATGACACCCTATAAATAAAACAGCTCAAAGTGGATCTGCTCTGCAGTGGGGCAAAGGCCATCCCTGCTGTAGCCCCTTGCCCCCCTCTAGAGCACAAATGGCCTCCTATTTTACAGAAAAGGAAAATGGGGCCCAGAAAGCCAAAGTTCAAGATTTATGGCTGGTCTAGATTCCAGTTCTCCTGATTCCCAATGCAGTCCATCTTTCTACTACAGCTATCCAAACAGAATAATCCCATTTTCAACTCCAGTCCCACTAAAGCCAAATCCTCTGCATATCCTCCAAGATACATATTATCTCTAGGTACAGAGCTTCCCTCAGAACACAAATGACCTGAGTCTGTTGTGACTCCAGCCAGGCCTGGAGAGTTAGTTGGTAGACTCAGAGCACTAAGCTTAACAACATGTAGGACACTGCTGAGCCCAGAAATGCCTACCAACGCCAGAAGGGGGCAGCAGGGGCTCTGTAACGAAGGGAAGGAAAATCAAAACCCAAAGCTGCGGCAGGTGGAGCCCTCGGAATTCTCAGTGCCTTCCAGCTTTACAGAGGTTGAGTTCAAGTGAACCTAGCAAATATTTGCCGAGGCCCTCAGTCTTAAGGCATCAGGTACCAAGCACAGAGATAGGACCAAGACCAAATCCTTGATCTCCAGAAATTTCTATTTGTTAATTTCTCTCTGCCCCCTGTGCCTTCCCCTAACAGTCACACCCAAAATCATAAGTGTGCATTAGTGCGCGTATGCACGGGATATGTAAACACCGCGCTCCAGCCTGCAAAACTCTCCACAGACACCCCTCACTTCCCGCAGCCCCCAAATGATTCTTTTACTTTGCACTGTATCTGGATAAAACACTAGTTTTCATTTTGGTTCGGGGTTTTTTTTGTTGTTGTTTTCTTGTTTTTAGTTTTTTTTTTAAATCTCCACACTTGCATTCCTACCCCTTTCTGTCACCCCAAACAGACTCACATTGGTTAGGTGTGTGCAGAATACACTTAGAAAAGAAACGGTTTCACATGGTGGCACACTGCATTAAACAGGTGTAGCAGCCAGTGCCCAAGGCAAACACACCTCTCACATGCTAGAGCTGCAAATTTACCTGGATTCTCTCTCCACTGGGTTTTTCCCAGTTGTGTAACAACCTAATGGTTGGTTTTCCAAAAAAAAAAAAAAAAAAATCCATCACTAGTCCAAAAAGATCAATAGGATGAGTTGTTCAAGACCCTTCCAGAAGGTATTTTAGTAATATCAGAGATAGCCTGTTCCTCAAGTAGAACCACTGGGAAAATGTAATGAACTCATTTAGGTAAAGCACTTTGAATAGCGCCTGATGCACAAAGAAAGGGCTTCCTAGGTATTAGTTATCATGTCTATTATTATTACACATGGGATGCGAATGAAGCCTCAAATTGCAATATTATAAATATGTTAATTTCCTTCTCCCTGAGATTTTTTTTTTCAGTTTCCTCATACTCAAACTGCACATAATTCCTACCTAAGGATGAAATTGTCAGGATCAAAAGAGATAACCTATTTGGTTACTTTGAATCGAATGAGATGAAGGTAATTAAATTGTCCATCAAGTAGAAAATAATTTCGGAGCACCTAGGTGGCTCAGTCAGTTCGGCGTCCAACTTTGGCTCAGATCATGATCTTGTAGTTTGTGGGTTCAAGTTCCGCATCGGGCTCTGTGGTGACAGCTCAGAGCCTGGAGCCTGCTTTGGATTCTGTGTCTTCCTCTCTCTTTCTCTCTACCCCTCCCCTGCTTGTGCTCTGTCCCTCTCTGTCTCTCAGAAATAAATTAATTAGAAAAGAAAGAAACTCATCTCTCAGAGATTTCCCTTCTAGGGAGCCACATGATTTGGTAGGGGGCAATGTTAGATGACTGAGAAAGAGAGAGATGGGAGCTGAGGAGAGACAAACATCCCCCATATCATACAGTAGGTCTGGCAAGATCCTCATGACAATAGTTTCCACGGCTATTGAGCTACTTCGACCCCCTCCCATCACCCAAGCACAACACAGCACTCAAGTCAAATGCTGCCAAACAAGCCAGAGGCCACCTAACTGTCTTTTTAGGCCCCCACCAACATACTTGTACATCTTCTCTACAAACCTACCACACCATAAGCCTAGGTGTCTTCACCCCAGCCTCCATCTAGCAAGTTATTTGATAAGAGAAAACTAGGGACCACCTGACTTATCATCTGGGAAGTCAGACACAGAATCAAAATCCTATACGACACAGTTAGGTTGTTTCCAATCCTCCTCTAATATAAGTAATGTCGCTATTCATATCTTTGTGCACAAAGCTGTTTTCGTTCGAATGATTCTTCAGTTCCCAGGAACATTGCTTAAAAGACTTGCCATCTTTTAAGGCTCTGGTTACATCTGGCCAGAGAGATTTTTGGCCAACAATATGTATATCACTTGCCACCAATATATTATTTTTTTACATGCACTCTTGCTAGAATTAAATATTATGGTTTTTAAGTTTTTGCTAATATGATGGGCAAAATTATTAAATCTCTTTCTGAAAACATTTAATAATTCATAGATGGAAAGTGTTTGCTAGTTATATTTTTCCCAATTTTCCACTTCTACTTATGGACATTTTGCTGGATAACCTACAGTGTATACCCTGCCATGAGGACATTAACAATAAACATTAGTAAGCATTATTTTAATGTTCGACAAATGTCATTTTAAAATATTATTCCAGGGCGCCTGAGTGGCTCAGTCAGTTAAGCGTCCGACTTTGGCTCAGGTCATGATCTCACGGCTCGTAAGTTCGAGCTCCACGTCAGGCTCTGTGCTGACAGCCAGCTCAGAGCCTGGAGCCTGTTTCAGATTCTGTATCTCCCTCTCTCTCTGAAACTCCCCTGCTCACGCTGTCTCTCTCTCTTTCTCTCTCGGAAATAAATTTTTTAAAAAAACATTAAAAAATAAAATATTATTCCAATATAAAAGCAGATATTGTGAGAAAAGTTAAGAAGAAACAGAGTATCACTTTATTGAGATCACAATTATAATCTCCAAATTCCTCAAAACCTCAAAAACTGTGTGCAAACATATGGTGTATGTGTATGTCTACCTTTTATGGAAAGCTTGTGCTTAGCTTTCACCAAAAACCTAAAAATATCTTAAAATACCACCTCAAAGGTAGCTGCGTGAACCAGGGGTAAAAAACAGCTGAAGTCCACGCACCACATGGTGAACTGCAAAAAGCCTAGAAGATGCTTAAAACTCTGTAGAACAAAATGGGAAGTGCCACACTTATACCTCCACCTCTTCCTGGCACGCTTAAGTGTGTGCATTTGTTTTGGGTACTTGGTTCGAAAGAAAAAGTAAGGTTTCTGTCCCTGAGGGCAGTTTTTGAAGTGAGAGGAACAAAGGGTATTAAAAGCAGTCACCACAGCCTGAGGTAGGTTGCAATCCTTGTAGGACATGTAGGTGTTACTGAGTACCTCCAATGAGCTCACCACTGCAACAGATGCCACAATCTGAAGCAATGAATTCCACAGGTCATTAGTAATAGGCCTCCTCCAGTCCGTACCCCGGTGGCTTCTCCTGCAGCTGCCCAACATTTATATGTTCCTAACCTCTGCGCCTCCCTACCCTTCCCAATAGCTAATAAATCCCCACTTTCTCGGCAGGAACCAATCCCATCTTTAGACACAGCCCTGCCAGTATGATTGCCTAGATTGTGCACTACATGGTCTAGATGCTGTCACTCACCCTGTAGTCTAAATTAAAACAGTATCTATCTTGCTCACTATAAGAGCTCTATGCCAACACTCTGCAATTCACATCGGAGCCATCTTATTACTACTCTTATCCTGACATAGCCCCCTAGTTCTGACAACTGGGCTTATTCCAAGTTGCCCAAACCAGTCTGCACTACATTTCTCATCCAGAATAACTACATCCTCCTACCTAATACCCCTGACCTTCTATAACTGGGAAATGGGGAAATAGTGAATGCTGTATGTCTTGTATTCCAAGGACTGAAATCTCATTTTGAACCCTTGCCCAGGACTGAGAACCTGCTGATAAGCTTGCTGACACCCCAAGCTTAGACAGCTGATTACTGCCAGATCCTGGATCTTGGTCACCATGATCCATCACTGCAAGCTGGTCTCCCCTAGTTGTCTATGGCCACACCTTCTACATCTTGATGCTCTGCACCAAGCTGCTTTTAAAGAGCACATGGGGGTGGGTCCTGCTCTAGCACCTGACTAGGTACCTCCTAATCACTTCCATGATTCACCAGGTTGATGGTCTCGAACAAATAGTTTGCCTTCAGACACTCTGTCTCCTTATCTCTAAAATAGAGATGGTCTCAGAGATCACCGAGAATTCAGTGATATGCTGCCTGTAAACTACTTAGCACTGTGCCTGTGACATCTAAGTGTCCAACAAAGGGTAGCATCCCCGAGCACAAATTATACATATGTGACATGGAAGGCAAATGTGACAGAAGATAAATGACCAACATCTCAGCAGCTGGCAGCCAGCCCCATTCTGTTGCCCAAGCCTCTGTGCCCTGCCCAAGGAGGCTGCTCACCCTGCCTCCAGCTGCCCTGGTCCAGCTTCCCCGGATACCATGTATGGTTCTTTCAGGCAGGTTTACTGAACAGCCCCTAAGAAGCAGGTCAGAATGCCACGTACGCATGGTGGTAAAGCTGCTGGCACCAGACTGTAGGGGAAGCCATTATATTCTTTCACCTTTTTCATGAAACACGATTTTTACTCGGAACAAACGACTGACAAACTGTCAGTCGAACTTATTCGGACTTAGGTAAATGGTGAACTCTTTCTCAAAAATGAATGAAATGAGTCCGTTCAAGTCAGGGAAAATCATGAAAGTTTTTTTTTTTTTTTTTTTTTTTTTGCAATTTTGAGCTTCCAAACAAAATTAGAATTCCAAAAGCTTTCTGTGCTTAAAGACTTTCTTGGGTCGCCTGGATTGCTCAGTTGGTTAAGCATCCGACTTCGGCTCAGGTCATGATCTCAAGGTTCATGGGTTCGAGCCCAGCATGGAGCTCTGCACTAATGGTGCAGAGCCTGCTTGGGATTCTCTCTCTCCCTCTCTCTTTGCCCCTCCCCTGCTCAGGTGCATATGCTCTCTCTCTCTCTCTCTCTCTCTCAAAGGAAAAAAGAAGAAACGAAGACTTTGTTGATGATGATTCCTGTGGTGCTATTAACAAATGTGATTTTTTGATATTATATAATAAAATGTGTCAACATTTAGAAGATCTACATACCTCGATGTGACCACTATTTTCCTAACAACCATCGCATGCAGTTACAAAATCATGCACTGGTAAAAAAGATCCATTCAAAGTGTAACACTGACCAGTGGATTTTAATGTAAGGGTATGAAAGTTTATCAATATTGATATTGGCTTCCAATTCACACCGCACCTGAATTTAAGAAACTACCATTTGTCAAGGTTTCATATAGAATCAAAGAAGAATACCCATAATTATCTGAAAAAGCTATTAAAATAATCCTTTTTTTCTAAATACATATCTGTGCAAGGCCAGATTTTCTTCATATTCTCCAACCAAAACAACATATGGCCAGAGATAGAATGCAGAAGCAGACAGGAGAATCCTGCTGTCTTCTATTAAGCCAGCCATTAAAGAGATTTGCAAAAACATAAAACAATGCTACTTTTGTGGATTTTTTGTTTTAGAAATATATCTATTTTTCATACAAGACTACCTGTGTTAGTATAACTGAGTTTTTGGTTGCTATCTGAAAATCAATTAACACATATTCTTAATGGCTTTTATTCTATGTTCTTCTCAATTTTCTATTCTCTCTAAGTGCTGTAAACAGACTTGTCCATTCACTCATTTGTTTATTTCAGGGTGATGCTAGTATTCTTTTATCCTGGAAATGTGGGAGCAGAAGGCAAATGGAGGTAAAAGTGGTGAGAAACTCCTGGTAAATGTGCATATGCTCATTCAGATGATGCAATCAGTATCTCTTAAACACTGTTCTTGTTGGGGTTCATGTTTCCCAAATCATTCTCTCTAGCCCAAAGCTCTTACCAAGCATAATCATTTACTCGACAAATACTTATTTAGTATCAACCATGTGTCAGGCACTGTCTACTGAAAGATGGTCATAACATGTCACCTTTAATGTCCCACTGACACTGTCAACTCAGAACCCCCAACACTAGGCTTGTCTTCATGCTCACCAGTCCCTCCTCGCCTGGCTGTGGTCTAAGTGATTGCTGCCCGTCTAACACCCTGAGGCGCAGGCCAAACACCCAGCGGTGTCCTTGCCTCCCCATTCCCCCTCACCCCACATCCAACCCACAGCCAAGTCCCAGAAACAGCTCTTCAAAAGCTTTCAAGTTCTCCATTTTTCTCCATCCATCTTAGTTCAAGCTTCCTTCATCCCTCACCCGAATTACTACCACAGCCATCCAACTGCTTCCCACCTCCTGTTTTACCCTTTCTCCATCTGTCTACCCTGCCCTGGGCCTAGAAACTCATAGCCAGCACACCATTAACATGGTCAGTTGAGGGATATCATCTCCACTTTACAGATGAGGAAAACAGGGCTTGAAAGTGAGACCACTTGCCCAGGTGGCATTTTTAGAAGGCAAATTTGATTGGGCCACTCCCTGGGTTCGCCCTCAATGGGCCCCAGCCCTCAGGATGAAATACAAGCTCTCTAATAAGGGCTATAAAGCATGGGCCCTCCATATGGGCTTCCCAGCCTTCCCTGTGTGCTCCTTTTATCTCCAGGCTTTTTCACACATACTCTTCTCTCTGCCTAGGTCACTCTTCCCCCCAACTCAGTTCAGCTGTGCCTTCCTGTAAGAAACCTCCCCCGACTCCCTGAGATGGGGGAGATGCCCCTTTTATGAGTCCCCATGGCAACCACTACTCACTGTAATGGTAGCACTTAGCACACCAGGTTTTTTTGTTCGTTTGCTTGCTTTGTTTTCTGTTTTTTATTCCCCTAGCCCCTTCAATGAGGTCATTCCAATCCTATGATGCCTTTAGGTTCTTCTGTCACAGTCTATATGTCATGCTGGAATCACCCAACCGCCTAAGTGATTTTTTAAATTCACATATATTAAAGTTTACTTTTTACTTTTACTGTGTTCTATACAGTTCTATTTCATACATCCACCATTACAGTATCATACAGAATAGATTCACTGCCCCCCAAAACTGTTGTGTTCAACAACCCAACACTCCTTCCCCCACACTGTTTGCCTGTTCACTTGACTCTCTCTCTCTCCAGTTTACGATCTGTTCTGTTTTAACACAGCGTACCCAGTATGAGGCAAAACGCATGGCATTCTAAGGATACTCCACAAGTACCTGTTAAATGCAAGAACCAGAAACTTTTTGAACCTACAATTTAAATCCTGTCCCTGAATGACAAGGGAACCAGCTCTAACAACTCCTGTATGCTAACTCTTCCCCAGTGACACATGCTTGGGTGAATGAATGGAGCCCACAGGTGGTTAAGGCTGCCAGCATGTCTGCTGGGCTTGGGTGGGTGGACCAGCTCAGAAAGGTCAGGACTACGGAGCTGCTGCCCAAGAAATGGGGGAGGGGTGGCTCTGGGGAACAATAGGTGATACTTAGTGGGGAGTGACACTTGGAACGAAGAAAGAGCACTGGGAACCCTGAAAAGCCTTGGCTGGGGAGCCCCACATCTAAACCAACACACTGCATGGCAGTCTGAATCCCAGAAATGCGACATTATCACGATGCTGCAAGGATCAAGGCATGCTCTGTAGACTACCAGGCCGGCTGGGGTAGGGACTTGGCGTTGAAAGTCTAGGCCCTGCTCGGGTTTCTGCCTTTCTCACTCCTATGATTTGAGAAAGAGCTGGGAGAGCTCCAAAGCTGTGGGTGGAGGGAGAAGCTTCTGAGGGCCGAACTGTCAGAGCCCAAACAATGGCTTTCTCTGTGCAGCTGGGCTTTGCACCTGGTGCCTGCACAGGGCCCTCTGTGCTTCTGTCCTTCCGCACACAGTGATGTCCACACAGGCGGGGCTTATAAATACCCTCCAAAGAAGAAGTGAAACCACTGGCTAGTTCTCCTTTTCTCTGCTTAGCTGGCGCCCAGCAGCTGAGAGCAGCTGGTACAAACTCACATTCCCCAGTTCAGAGGCTCAACCCGTTCTTATTATTTTATGGTTGGGAAGCTTCTGGCAAACATCCTGTTTAGAATAAAATGGGACTCAGACTGACTATCAGGGGCTAAATTTACCACCCAGAAACTTCAAACAAAATAAAAGAGAAAGCAGAGGAAAGGGCAAGACCTACCCACACACCATTCACAGAGACAGAACACCAAAGTCTTCTCAGGGTGAGCCTTTTACCTGTATGTAGAAGGTCCTGGAGCTTGTTATGATTTCAAACAGGTTGTCTCTCATTAAGAGATCACTAGACAAAGAGAAAGAAAGTTACCAGGCATGCCTGCACACATGTGGAGGACTTGATTTATCCCACGTCAAGGCTCCAGCACCCTCTCCCATAAAAGGGGGCCTCCCAGGCCATTCTTCCTCTGGTCTCTGCCTCATAAACTATGACAGGGATCCCCTCCAGCTTAACTTCCTACAGGCTCTCAGAAGGTCTCGCCATCCCCATGGAAATCCCCCACCACCAGTTCTAACAACATAATGCTCCTTTCCCTCTAAAACCTCCTGCCTAAGATCCACCACATTCCATACGACCTATAGTTGTGTGTGGGGGTGGGTGAGGTTAGGGTCTCAGATCTATAAAGTTCTTTGTGCAAAGCACTGCTTTAAGTGTTTTTTTTCAGGGTCAGAGGAACATTTTGTTGGTTTTATAAATATGTAAATATAACTAATCAATTATTCATTTTATATATTAATACATAAGATAACATTTTATATAAATATATAGGGAGAGAGAATGGACATATAACATTTTATTCGTTTCAGGTACACAAGATAATGATCCAATATTTGTATATATTGTCAACTGATCATCACAAAAAGTCTAGTTGACATCAGTCACCACACATAGTTATGAGCTCTTTTTTCTTGTGATGAGAACTTTTAGGGTCTACTCTATCAGCAATTTACAAGTAGCCAATATAGCATTATTAATTGTAGTTACCATACTGTACATCACATCCTTAGGACTTAGGTATTTTATAAATGGAAGTTTGGGCCTTCTGACCCCCTTTTCGCCCCACCCCATTTTGCCCACCCCCCACCTCCCACCTCCGGCAACCACCAATCTGTTCTTGGAGTGCTTTCCAGTATGTCATTCCATCCAATCTTTACAGCAATCCAGTAAGAACTTTATACTTTCCCCACCTTGTGGATGAGGAAACCCAGCCTCAGAGAGGCTTGTCCATGGTGCCGAAGTTTAGAGTAAACAGCAGAGCAAGGATCTGAACCCAGGTCTGACTCCAGAGTCTGTGCTTCTAATTACTCCACTACCATTTGCCTCTTCTAAGGGAATCAACTCTCATTTCCAAAGCCTTCCCCCCAACAAGCAGCAACCTCATCACCTTCATTAAATTCCTGGTCTGTGCCACCCTGTACTGGGCTAGAGACAGGGAACTAATGAGATATGGAAGGAGAGACTGGACTACTTTAAGATGCTTCAAACGGTATGAGTTTGGGAAGAAGAATCTTGACCTCTGCAAGGAAGAAGGGGAGGCGTAGCTGGTGCCCAGTGACAAACCCTAAACCAGCCAAAATTATTTGCGGTGTTGAGCGCCTGCTGTGTGTATTCAGGTGCTGTAGGCAATACACAAGGAACAAAAGGTCTAATTTCTTCCTAATAAAAGTACCAAAAAAAGCAAAACTATACAATTAGATGTTAGACTGTGTGTTCTACGCCAAGAGTCAGAATAATTCCAAAACAGGACTGATCGCAGGCAGAGTTGGCTCCGTGAATGAGGACTTGAAAGGACATGTCAGGCACTGGGCCAGTGACATGGGCACCGGGGCAAAGGAGGAGCAGGAGACTAAAGACCCACGTGGGAAGGGACAGCAAGACAGGGGGTTAGGAGGACCTGGGGCCAAATCCTGACTCCACTTGAGGAAAAGGCCTTTTAGGAATATTTTTAAATCTTTGTGGGCCTTTGTACCCCAACTGTATAATGGAGATAAGGAGACACCCCTCCTCAGCAGGCTGGTCACCACAAAGATCAATGTATGAAGTATATAAGGCATCTGCTACAGTGCAGGCCACATAGTGGTCACTTGAAACATTTCACTGACCATTATTACTTTCTGAGTAGAGACGGCTCTTCTTACTGGCTAAACTGTTTTCGCTTTTTAAATCACTCACACACATACAGTACTCTCATGTCATCAACTACTGAAGAGATGAAAGCAAAGCAGGGAGGAAATCCCCACCCTTGTCACATCTACTTTCCAAGCTACATGTTGCCTTTCAATTCAATTCAGTTCAATTCAATTTAATTCAAGTTAACAAATGTTTGTTGACTACACAGATGCCCTAACTGGGTTTGGGGAGGCCACACAGTCTCGGAGGCCTGGAACCCGCAGAGCCTTGGGGACTTCCTTCCCTGATGATCTGCAGCTCTTAATTCCTTCACTAAGAATTCGGTTTGACTCTGGCAGTGAGAGACTCAGATGAAGTACAGACCACTTAGGACTCCATGTCATCTGGGCTTGCTAAGCTGCCCAACATGCCCAGGTGGCTGTCCATCTACCTGTCTGCACTGGGCTCCCTGCGGAGCCAGGAACCATCTCTGAGGAACAGTCATGCCCAGTCATTCCTCCACCCACCATCAACCTCTGGAACCACACTTCTGGACCATCCCTCTACAGACACTTTTATGGAATACAAACTGTCACTGGGAATTTCCCTAATCTCTACTCCGCAAATGTCATTTGCAAGACTCAGTACAGCCCCAGTTCAGTCCCTGCTTCCTTGGATCATGCGGCATTTTGTTGCCACGCAAGACCTTCCTATATCTTCATGTGATAACAGTCTGCCTGCTGCGAAGGGCCTCCCTGATGATGCTCGTCTGCAATGCACAGTCCATGGGATGAAGAGACACAGTCTCTAAAGACTGGAGATTAAGGGGCAAAAGGAGGAGGACTTTTATATGTCCAGATGCCCTTGGGTTTCTACAGTTTAGTTTCAAGGGCATCTGTATCTGTATTGTATATAGGAGAGAGCCCTTGCCTGCAGGACCCAGATCCCAAACTCATCCTCTGCACCGCGGTACTAGGAAGGCAACCCATTACCCAGTGGGAAGAGGAACACATTAAAAATACTTGCTCTTCCTCTACAAGGGAGCCACAGAGAGTTGCTGTTAATCACCTTTGTGTTAAGGGGACATCTGGAACTTTGTCAAAAGGGGGAAAAGGCATAAGAAGTTCAGGGAAGAAGCAATGGAATAAGCAGTGATCTGGCCAGAAGTGCTGGTAAGTTGGAGACCTCAGGACACCATCTCTGCTCTGAGCCCTAGGCCTCCCATGCAATGAGCATCTAATTCTAACACTTGAGAAGCATCCCAACACCACTCTCTTCTTTGTTCCTACATTCTTTCTTTTTCTCCATCAAAAATTATTATTACATAGACTCAGCCCATCTCCTCAGGAGCCAGAGTAAGGCAGTGGGAAAAGATGAGCTTGGTCTCTTAGCTGCCATCAGTGTGGAAGCAGTAAGTGAGATATCAGGCCCTGTCATGCTCATGGAAGAAGATTCTTAAATAGAGCCTCAGAAGGGTAGTAAATGATGACTTAGGAGGCAGATGGGGATTCTGAACAGGAAAAAAAAAAAAAAAAAAAAAGCAGAGATTATTACCCAGATTTGACCAGACACTCATGGGTCTTAAGAACATCCTTGAGAAATATAGTGCGCAGTGGTTCTCGGTCCTGGTGGAAAAAATAAGATAGGTAAATGAGACTATCCACAGAATGCCACAACCCAGCCCAGATGACCAACGTACCTCTCTGATCGGAGGTACATCACAAACAAGGCAAAGTCTCAAAATAACGATCAAGAGAGGAAAAAGTTCTAAGAAGATATTCTGTGGCTCTGACCACAGAGTGGCTCACTGCATAGAGGGAGGGAGGAAGTGAAGGCCATGTTACTACTGATCTACAGATGCACACACAGGATGGATGCAGATAAGACAGAGGCATCCTGCAGGCCTGTGTGTGCCCACATCTCTACTCATGCACACACATGTGGGTGTCACCTGTGTCCCTCTTGCTTCCATGACCTGTCAGAAGGGCCCCAGAGTGGCTACAAACCTGCTCACACTTGAAGTAGCAGATAGTAAAGTCATCAAGTGCAAAGTAGCGACGTTTCCAGCTCTTCCGCTGAAATAAAAAGTAAAGAGCAAGACATTAATAAGAGGCCCCTTGATTCCAGAAGGTGTTCCAGTTCTAAGCTCCTGGGTATCCAGTCTGATGGAAGCTGGGCTCTCACATTCAGTGAGAGAGATGGGTGGGGGAGACTTCTTCTGATTAGAGGCAGTGCCTCGGTCATGCAGGGGTGAATGTTTAGTTCCAAACCTCTCACTGGTTTGGGAGGTAGTTTCAGAGATGGACAGCTCCTTGCAGCCAGCTCTGCCCTGTGTGCTGCCCACAACCAGCGCTCCCAGGAGTCGCCAGGACTCGCTCCGGCCCCAGCACTGACACTCACCACATTCCCTTGCTTCACGCAGTAGCCGCTCTTAATGAGGTGGGGCCCGGGGGGAACATGGCTGCCTGTTGTGGGGATGTAACTCTGAGACCTTCGAAGGATGGCGTGGGATCCGGGCTCGCTCCCCTCCTGCCCATCCCCACCGTTCTACAAGGAAACAATGTCAGGATTAGCACCTGCCCTTGCTCCTCACATGGCAAACCCCGTGCCTCACCCAGCCCTCTCGGGAGAATCTTCTCTTGCCTCTTTACCCACAATGGCAATCAAAGAAGAAATAATAAGAAAGTAAACGTTCACTTTGCTCCCATCAGGCACTGTACTGGGTGCTGTCAGAGAACAAGCTCGGGGAAGTGGGACAGACCCAGGAGAAAGGCAAGGACAGAGAAGCAAACCAGAAGGGAGGAGAAACACCCTATGGAACGAGGGACAGTGGGCTTATTTCCAGCCTCACCTGCCTTCCCCTGCCCCATTTCCCCTGTGATTTAGAAGTGCTAATCTCACGTGTACGGTGCAGGACCATACTGGCCACACTGCCTCACAATATGGTGGCCCCAATCTCTGTACTGCTGCTATTCACACCCACTCCTGTCCTGGGTTTTCTTGGCCACACCACCTGCACCGGCTCCCTCCTCCCCAACTACCTTTCCTCAGGGCAGCCCACCTCTATGCACATCATCGGCACACTACGGACACCTCTGTACCCCCACCGTCCCTCCCAGGGAGCCCCAGGCCCAGGCACCTGGTTGATAGGCGTGTGTACCACCACCCCTCCGATGATCTCGGTCTTGTAGGCCACCTGTGGCTTCTTCTCTAGGGCTGGAGGTGCTGCTAGGCTTTTCAGAACCTCGGTAGTCAGGGGCAGGCTCCCAACTTTGGGCACCTGGCAAGAAAGACAGCTTAGGAAAAGTGGGGAGGCAAAAGAGGGTTGGGGAAGGGGTAAGAAAAGCTAATGTACAAATATAGTAAGACAATCCTCTCTTCCCCAGCCCTTCCATCGATCCATTTCTGAATATGAGGAACTCTGCCAGCAGACCCCTATATGCACATGCACACAAACAATAACCGAGCACCCACTACGAGGCGGCCCTTCCCTGACTACAGACTAAAGACAAGACAGCAAACAGACATGTCCCACCCTTAGCACGGACATTCCAACAACAGAGGCCGACCAAACAACGCACAGCCAAACAATCAGAATAATTCTAAACCGTGGGGAGTGCCATAATGAAAATAAACAGGAGCTGAGATACAGAGGTGCAGGGGTACTACTTGGAATGGAATGGTGAATGGAGGGCTCCAGAGGAAGATGTTGGAACAGTAACCCAGAGACAACAGGAACCAGGAATGCAAGGAGGAGACAGCTCGCTAGGCGGGGTAATGGGTAACATACGTGTGGGATACGGCACGGAATTAGGGGACCATGAGCTTTGGAGCCCAGGGACCTGGGGTACCAACTCCTGACCTCTCACTGACTGACTGAGTGACCTTTGGCAAATCACTGAACCTCTCTCTAACCCAAAAGTGTCCCATGCAGAAAACGAACAGGGCAATAACATTCATGTCATAGTCATTGTATTTATCAAATGATGGAATATATAACTTTTACATTTTTCAAAAATAAAAAATATACATGGCCAGTTGATCTTTGAAAAACATAGATGTTAAGAGCACTGACTCTCACCACAGTAAAAACTCCATGTATAACTTATAACTCTGAAAACTCAACTACTAATAGGCTACTGCTGACCAGAAGCCTTACTGATAAGAGATTATCAATTAACACAGATTTTGTATGTTCTATGTATCATATACTGTATTCTTACAAAAATGCTAAAGAAAATATTATTAAGAAAATCATAAGGAAAATACATTCACAGTCCTGTACTGCAGATTTATCTGCATATGAGTAGTTCAAACCCACATTGTCCAGGGGTCAAGAGTATTATAAAATATTTTAATTAGCATTTCACAAATGGTACTCAATTTACAAACACAGCCCTTTTGAGCAGTTACCTTTTTTTCTCTCTTGGCAGAATTAGGGCATCATGGACAATCATATAATCACAGAATTTTTATGGCTCCTTCGACACCACAAGCTACAGGCTGCAAACTGGTGGCTTGAAGGCCGGTTCTGGCCAAACTGTGTGTTGCTGGTCCTATGTAGTATGTTTTTCAATCTACATTTCAAATATGGGATATTTTACCTAAAAATCCAGACTTCCAGCTAAGTGGCATTTCTGCCTTTAGATGGAGAACACTCTTCAGTTTGCCTCTGTCCCTATCATGCTCCCCAACACTGAAGCCACACGCCACGTGCTGTTTATCCTCATTTTGTTTTTCTTCCTCCTTGCTCATTTCATTCATTTATTCTGGAAATTCCAATAACATCTTTCATTTTGTAAGAAAGTAAGAGAGGCCTAGGCCAGTCAAGTCAATTGCCCAAAGCCATGGTTAATAACTGAACAGAGACAGGGTGCCTGGGTGGCTCAGCTGGTTAAGTGTCCAACTCTGGCTCAGGTCATGATCCGATAGTTCATGTCAGCTGTGCTGACAGCTCAGAGCCTGAAGCCTACTTTGGATTCTGTGTCTCCCTCTCTCTCTGCCCCTCCCCCACTCATGCTCTGTTTATGTCTCAAAAATAAACAAACATTAAAAATTTTTTTTTAATAATTTTAAAAAATAATTGAACAGAGACTAGATCCTAACTCCCTGCTAGGACACAATGTCCACAGCATCATAAAGCCCATCCTTCACAAGAATTCATACCCTGTGCAGATCTGCAGACATGAGTAAGGCTAACATCTTCCACTTCTATGGCCTTGGGAATCAGAAGGACCTAATAATCCAGACCTTTCAAGAGCTCATACCTCAGGGCCCTTTGAGAACTCTGCCAGGGATGAGACTGAGGGCTACTCCATTCATTGTGTTCAAAGAGTTAAGACCACTGTGATTACACTGGAACCCCAGAAAGATGAGACCCCTCTTGCTGGCCTGTGCATTCCACTTACATAGACAAGGGTGCCCTCCACCTACCAGCTCTCCAGACAGAGCCAGAAATCCACCTTCTCTCCCTTCCAGCTGTCTGAACCACAGTTCCCACCTCAATGGGTCCCATTCAGGGCCATACAACGTGCCAAACTCTGCTGTATGGTCTCTATCTCAAGCAATCTGATGAAGCAGGCATTATTTTCTCCACTTTATAGATCAATGAAAGCTCATAAAAGTGTTTCCCCTAGAACTGCCTGGCTCTCCATTGCTAAATGCCACACTACCTACTTATCCCACCCTTTCTTTCCCTGAGCTTTGCTACAGTGTGATGGGACTCCTTTAGGGATGTTGATTCTGTCTGGGATGTTTACTGATATCATCACCATGAAGCAACAAAAGCTCCCCGGAAATGACCTAAATGACTTCCAGCAAAGAAGGAGGGAAGTAGCCTTTTAGAGTTCCCAGTGGCCAGGAAAGGACTCACAGAAGCTTAGCTGTTGTATTGCCTCTCAGAGTCTTGTCATCATGGGCTGCTTCTGACCATCTTCCTGGAACCTTTGCAAAGCTTCCAGCTTGTGGAGGGCAAACCCCACAATAACTGTGCGCCAGAGCTTGAAACCAATGTCATTCTTTTGGTTTGTCCATATCCCCAGAGGCCTAATTAAAGGTGTGCCCTCTTCCATCCTCCTATGGAGTATTCTCTGATGGGGGAGATCCTTATGAATCTGATTTGCAATGTGAAATGAAAATTACAGGGACACAACGCCAGCTCAGTCACTGGAGCATGTGACTCTTGGTCCTGGGGTTATAAGTTCAAGCCCCATGGTGGGTGTAGAGGTGAAAGAAAGGAAAGGAAGGGAAGGGAAGGGAAGGGAAGGGGAGGGGAGGGAAGGGGAGGGGAGGGG